GAAGCTAATATCCAGCATGCCAGAGCGAATTGCAGAGGTTATGAAGAACAAGTGTCAACACTGTAAATATTGACTCATTATATATTTTTTTTTTGCCAATAAAAGCCTTTAAAACTTTTGATATGCTTATCATTGTTTTTCAGTATACCATAGAAACATGTGGAAAAATCTACAAATTATAAAGCAGCAAAACACAATTTATGTCACTGCCAAAACTTTTGGCCATGACTGTAGATTTGAAAATATAAATAAAGATCCACACTCCAATTAACTTGGTGGCAGTATTGTAATGATTCTTGAGTGGGTAAAGTTATATTTAAAGCTAAGATATTTATTATGAGTTAGGTAGTTGGTTAGTAGAAATGGTGTTCATAGCAATAGATTTTTTTTATTTTTATTGTTTATTCTTAGAAGTAATTTCAGTCTCCTGTCTGCTCTTTGAGTTTCATATGAGTCCTGGTTCTGGAATTCCATAATGCCACCAGTGATTCTGAGCTTTATTTATTGACTGCCATCTTCTGGTCGGGAAGAAATTCACTAGACGGGGCTTGTTTAATTATTTGCTAGAGTTAGCATGTGTTCCATTCTTATCGACATCTCCAAGAAGGGTTTTCCTAACTTTTCAGTGCATCTCTTATCTCCTAAATTTGTAAAACCCCGGAGGCATGGTTATAATAACCAAATATACACTGCGCACGTACACGTTTAAATTATATTAAAAAGAGATTGTTGCTTACCATCTTTTAGTTAGATGAAAGGGTCGAGGCCACATTGAGACTAGAATAGCAGTTTTAATAGTTTTTACTACATTAAGCCTTAAATTTGTCGTGTGACCAGTGGGCGGAGCAATTTGACGACGTCATTTCTCATCATGTGATAAAAGGCTGTAATCATTAAAGTTTATGCTTGTAATGCAAATTTATTCGTCACTTAGGCCTACTTGTATAACATCAAACAGACTCTGTCAAACAAGTAAAATGAATAGGACATTATTTTTGCCTTTACAAATATTTCTCGCCAAGAGAGGTAACTCTGGAATCATTATTTGTGAACAATAACTTTAAACTAATGTTTACATAAATATAAAATATTTATTTGACGTTTCTCTTATATTAAAATATTGCACAGAAACACATGTTAGCTTAATACAAAGTAAATAATGTGAAAATAATATTGTAATAAGTTTTATCAGTGAAGGCAAATTAAGCGATGCTAAAAAAAAAAACCTGTTTAAAAAGATTTCTGCTTTGAAAGTACTATTGAAATCACATTTATATTTATCATATTAGCCTACATATTGGGCCCATATTTTATGTAAATTAAAATGGATGTTTAATATTGTATAGTTAATATTTTTTTAAATGTAAATTGAGCTTAACTATAAAATCCCAGATTATGAAAGCTTTTGAAGCAGAAAACTCTCTCCACTCTTCCTGTACTATTTTTATTCCCCTGTGTATTCGTGCAGTGACACAAACTAACCCCAATACAGATTTTGTTGTTTTTATAGGCAGACATATTTTGGGGGGAAATGACCACAACATTTATCTTTCTCTCATGGTGTTCAGCTTTTTGCACTGAGAAAGGTTTCAAATGTTTTCTGGCCTGTGAAACTGACAGACACACTAGAGGGCATTCCCACGATATAGAAGCCTCCAGTGCCAGTGTGCAGGGGGATGACACCATCTTATTTTTACTTTAATCTTTTGACCTCTTGTTCCTGACCTGGCTGATTCTTGTGCTATGATTCTTAATTAATGTGCATACATTAATATTCTTCTTTCTTTCATTAAAATACAGAAAGTTGGCAAACATTAGAAAATACCAGTTTATTTTAGAAACTTACATCCATGTCATCATTTAATATGAACAAATCCTTTATGCTTACATGCACTTTTGAAAAGAGCCCTTATGCATGTAAACAGAAACATATGCTACAGTATCACTCAAAGCACTGACAGACGAACATGTTTTTTCAGACCTTATGGACATGAGAATTCCCGAATACATCTGTAGACCGGTGTATACTCATATGTTTGTTTAGCTATAAACAAATGTCAGAGGAACACCAGAGCTTGAGATACAGAGCAGTATTAATGTGAGACCCTTGATTTACAGTCACTCTGGGGAGTTCACTGTCGTGGATGGCTGGAATCAGAGCAAAACCATATGGCCACAGTTTGCCACTGGATATTTTTCATATCCAGGTAGTTTCTGATGCAAGGTCCTTTTTTTTATTTGTTTTTGACTCATTTTGTTCAAACTTTGTGTTGAAGCGGGAATTATTCTTTTGGAATGAGTGGTAAGTAATTTCATTTAATAATTTTACAGGCTTATTTAGTGTACATAGCACATGAGATTTTAATATTGACTACGCTACAATTAGAAGCTGTTCAAACACATATCTATACACAGTTTGCTTACATGGGCAATAATGTATATATATATATATATATATATATTTGTGTGTATTGTAAAATATGAATACAAATTTGGACTAATATGCCATCTAGAGGTAATGAAGCACTTCGAGGGACTTCACTGCTCTTTTTGATGACTCTGGTTCCTCTCAGTCTGGGTGATAGATTCACCTTGTTGATCTCCATGCCCAACACCTCCATTCCTTTCAGTGTTGGTCGGATTGGGGCTAGAGCTCTTATCGCTATCAGTTCTGTAAACTGCAGTCCGGACCTTCTGCAAGGTCAGTGAACTATTTGTACCAAGTAGAAAAGGAAGATGCACGATATTTATATATCATCTTTAATGTAATATGTTGTGGAATTATTCATCATCCACATCTGGATTACCATTATGTGGATGATGAATGCAATAATCTACGTGGCCCTGGGAAAATTGTGGCGCTTTACCATAGACACAAATTGTCACAGTGTTTGGTTGTGGTGCCCTGGACTGGCCACTTGAGGGCGCTATCCTGTTTCTATGTTTTATGTGTTTAACTCCATTTCCCATAATCCCTTGCTTGTCATTTCTGTTCTTATCATGAGCACCTGTTAATCATTCCTGATCATTATCACCGGTTGTTAATTACTCATCATCTCATCTATATATACCATGCTCACTCTGTCTGTCATTGCTACTACATTGTATTTGTCTTCTCAGTCCTGATCTTGATGTTGTCTATAGTTTACCGTGTATCTGTTCCTTGTGTTTGGATTACCTTTTGGCCACGTTTTTGTTCCGTTTGGATATTTTGTTACTTTCAATAAAACTGCAAATGGATCTTACCTTGTCTCTCCGGGCATTTCATGACACAAATACAGTGCTTTCAACGGACCTTCTTGCTCAAGTGTATGTGGTTGTATTAGCTTCATTTCCAAGACAATTGAAGGTCAAAACAAGTAAATAATAAAAATACAGCGGAACGTGTCAAAAATAACAATCACTCACTCATTATATCATTACTCAGACAATAGACTTCCAAATTAAGGTATCTGTCTTCTACAAGCACACAGTTCCAATTAAAGCTTAAAATTGACTTTTAACGCATGAAGGGCTATCAAAAAGTAATTACAAAAGTCGTTATAATCTCATTTGTCACAAGATATCATCATTACAAGACGAAGGACTATCAAATGTTCGTTGAGTAGGAAATGGAGCATTATCATCTGTTGCTAATTCTTATTTAAGGTCTGCGCAGTGACTGCTAAACTAGCAGCTTATTGGAACATTGCTGCCATCAGTCCTGTATGTGCAGATCAACAGTTTCTAGATAAGAAGGTCTGTTTTAATGTTGTATATTACAATGAACACACTTATATCTTAAAATGCACTTTGCTTTTCAGTTGCTAAATGTCTTTTTCTCTTGGCCCCTTGAAATTCAGGCCTATCCGGCCTTAACAAGAGTGTTTGGACCTTTTACTTAACTAGGGGCTTTCTTTGTGGAAATCTGTAAGCAGTTTCACAATAAACAGTCCTGGGCTATTCCCGTCGAGGGGAGCA